ATATATATTGTCACATTGTGAATCAGAGCGCAAAAAAGGGAAAAGAAAAAAGGAAAAGGAAAAAAGGGAAAGGGAAGGAGGTAAGGAAAGCTCCATCTGTTCATAACCTCTTACGTACAAGGCCAGCCACGTGGATGACAGGTTGAGCGCTGGCTGCCCCCATCCCCGTGTGTCACAAGGACCCACTTGCACGCAGCCAAAAGGCAAAGAGGTAAAGAAGGGGAGGAGGAAACCAAACCTGACATATATATCATATACAGACGATATATATGTACACGCATATCATATACATATTTGGAACAGTGGTCGTTGGGAACTTCCCCGCTCAACCACACAAGTTTGTTGGGAGACTCATTAACAGCGATCCAGCTTTTCAATTCGTTTTTGCGCCCCTCTTCTTTTTCTTCTCTTTGTCTTCTCTTTGTCTTCTCTTTGTCTTCTCTTTTATCTTCTCTTTTTCTTCTCTTTTTCTTCTTTTTTCTTCTTCTCTTGTTCTCTTTTTTTTTCCTTCTTTGTCATCCTGTTTCTTCTTGGTGCCTGCTTATGAAGGTCTTCAATCCGCTTTCCGCGCTCTTAGCCGACATATTTTTCTCCTTCTTTGTTTAGGGCGGGGCGAGCATCCGTACTCTGCCCCGATGTCTTTCTTCCCTTTTTGCCCCTTCCCTTCCCTTCCCTTTTCCCCTTTTTTATCCGCCGCTTAATGGTAGAGTATAGCCTTACCAAGACTAAGGTTGAGGGTGCAAATCCCTTTTTCCGGCTCGTCAGCTTCGCTGCCTAGCCAAGAACCCATAACCAATACCGACCCAAGAAAGCAAAGAAGAAATGAAGAGTCCAGAAGGAACCACTGACAGGGGACAGGTTCGGCCAATTTCCACTTTGATCGTCCCTAGGACGAGCGGCCAAGCCCGCCCGGCATCCTTGTTTTTTTGCCCTCTTCCTAACAACTTACTGTAAAACAGCCTGCAGGCAGGACACCATGTTTCTTTCCATTGTTCTCTCTCAGATCACGTGTTTGCAATGTTTCAATTCTGGTTCAAAAGGACGCTGGACCCGTTTTCCGGCACGTGATACTCCCCACCAATAGATAGATGGAGCGGTTTTAAGTTTTTTAATTTTTGTATTTTAAGTCGGATTAATTGTTGCGGGGTCTAAAGAATACGCTGCTGCCTATCTGTCTGTCGGACTATCGGGGAGAGGCTTCGTTGAACAAAAATCAGTCGATTCATCCATCAGTTAATCGATTCAAAATCCCAAGTGAATGAATCGCTTAAAATCGAATTATAATAAATGAAAATTGCATTATATTAAGTATTCAATTAACCACCCATGACCAATAACACGGCTAATCAATCTTCATTTTTTTCTAATCGATCAAGGTTCACGCGGTGAATATGATGGCACGCAGCACTTGTCTCTGCTGTGACTCGACTCAACCGTGATCAGTCGAGTCCCAGAACGGACAAAAAACACCGGATAACGACTTCCTCAGCCATGGATACGCCCTTTGTTTGAGCGTCCCTTTGTTTGAGAGCTTGAGATATAGAAATTATATCCATAAAATTACACAAAATATATAATAAAACTATGAACAGGATTTTTCTTCTTATGCATAGTTTTGAGGTGGATACGAGGCGCTGTAGTGCTACATTGTCTACTGTAGCGCCTGTTCGAAGGGAACGCGGCCGGTGCTTATCACTACTCCGATTGGCCGTATACGCTCATTGATGTAGAGAGGATGATGAACGGAGTTGGCCCGGGGGGGGGGAAGGAGGGGGGAAGGAGGGGGGGAAGGAGGGGGGGAAGGTTAGAAGAATCAGGGGGATGGGAAAGCCTCCCACCAAGGTGTTCGTAAAAATGACATAAAATAGAAGAAGGCTGACAACTGTGTTACAGGAGGAGAAGGCTGATTGTTCCCATCTGGATTCGAACTCAGGTGTGTATGTCATAAGTTCATGGGTGTACCAACTGAGCTAGGCCATCAACATGTTCTACAAGTTGTGGCCGATAAGCGAAAGACGCCCCAAACCAGCGAAAAGCAAAAAGAAAGGGAAAAAAAAAAGAGGAAACTTTATCGTTGAGGATTTGTCCTTTTCCACATTCTGCCCCTCTACACTCCAAGTGTACACCCAAAAACAAAAACAAGCAAACAAAATTATTCCCCTCTACAGTCCAGTGTACACCGAAAAACGAAAAAGAAAGAGAAAAAAGGGGGAAGGAAAAGCTGTAAAGATCTCACAGGGAAACAACAGATGGGGCGAAGCTGAAAAGAACTCACCTTCTTTCTTCGTCTTCTCATTGAGATTATTTACGTAGATTGTCTGATTAGGGGGAACGCCCATGTGCATCATTTTGGACGACAGCGGGGGTCCCTATCCCTATATCCCAGCTCCGCTGCCGATGCAGATGTGCGACTGCGATTCCGATGTCTAAGACGTCTCGTCAACACATCCTTCTCCTTCACCCCCCTCCCAACTCCTCCGCCCTCCCAAAAACCCACCCA